GCACGAATAACAACTCAGGTAGTAGCAGCGGCGACATTGCGGTAGCATAAATTCCGCAACAACACTTTTCGACAGCAATATTGCAGCATCGCACATCAACAACAATTCAATTTCGCGACATACCTTGACTTTAATCAGCCTCATAAATTAAGATCATCTTGTTAAAGTTCACTTGGTAACATTTCAATCACATGGCTTTATATCTCTTACATTTTATTTTGAGTTTTCATTGTTCAAATGACATGCTGCTGTTGCGTACAAGTTCGGTTTATTGGAGGCTGATTCGGTTTTACCCTATTTGATTTTGAAAGCATTCGATTGACCGTTAATCTCGTTGCTGCAATTACATAGTTGTTATTGGAAGCTAGCAGGTACTGATATATGCTAGGAATATAATGTGCTGCTAGTGGATTTTCTTTTGAACATTGCCAGATTTCTGTACCGACTTGTGATGTTGGATACAATGTCCATTCTTTTTCTTTAAAGTTAGAGGTAGACTCTTTATATATCATGCTGCTATTTTGTATATATGTAAACGACTTCGATCTCGCGAATTACAAGCTTTACAATAGTATATGAGTTTTGTAAATCGATACATTAACACACTGCTGTATATGAAGCTGAGATTCACTTTTTCTTTGTTTCAATAATGATTCGACTATCTGTTTCAATTTCATATTTATATATCGTCATGTTGTCTCGGTATTATACTGATGGAAACATTAGATGTGTGCATGTAGTATTATTATGATGAAATATTTAAAGCTGAATATAACTTAAAGAAAAAAGGTTGGTTCATGTGTGTTTGTTATTAACTATTTGGATTGAATGTGTTTACAATTACAGTAGTTTATTGAGCTTGATGGATATTGATTTTGTTGATGTCATGAATTATGAACTATGAACTATCGGGAACACAATGGTAACTTGAAATAACATTTATGATGCATGAATCATAGAGTCTGAAAAGTCCAGGTGTACCTTGCAAGAGGAAATCGAATCCTCAGTTGGAGATATTACATATGTGATTTGATGATCTGGACAGCTTCCTTGAACCTCAAGGATTGTGTTGAGATGCTTAGGAGAAGTTGAAACCTCCTGGATTGCTTGGCTCGAATCCAACTGTAGCTTGATCAAGGTGATATTTGATCTTGATGAATTTGATGTTACAGAAAGTGTTTAAGTGTTTGGATCACTTCTACATGATGTATGTGAAGTGTTTGAATCAAAAGTTTGAGTGGAAAAGCTCTTGTTTTGAAAAATCGATTCTCACTCTTTATAATTTTAAAGTGAAAGAGGAAGAATGAGAAAAAAAAAGTGTTGTGATTGTTTTAGTGTACTCTGAATGATCAAATGTGGCCTCTATTTATAAGGGAAAATATTTGTTTTGGAGGAATAGTGATGGTTGAAGGGTGCGCTTAATCTTCAATGGTTTTGGCAATGCATCATTACTTTTATCTCAAGGTACCTTATCTCTTTCACTAGCCTAGTTCTCCTTTTGACCAATTCCACATTCTGTAGATGTTTTTAATGTTGTTTAAGAGTGCATCTTGACTGATGGGAGTGATTTCTTTGACAATGCACTATTCCACATAAATGCCTATTGAATTCAAGGCTTAAGTGATAATGCGTCATCATTTCAAAGGGATTCCTCTTGACTTAGGGGATCCATCTTACAGGTTTTGTATGATTCATTCAGCTTCTTATTGAATTAGCATTATATGATCATCACACTTGGACTTAAGAAATCTTGCATCACAAGTAATGCCAAATCTAATATTTGCATCAAGGCATATTGTGCATTCTATATCTCCTTGCCTAAATGGAATTAGATTGTGTTCTTGGATATTTTGGGAAGCCGGTATATCATACTTCAACTTTGATATTTAAAATTGGTCTTGATTCATCTTGGATCATGGTGAAAAATAGCCTTAAAGTTGGTCCAACACAAGACAGATTGTGCCTAAACATTTTCTAAGTGTCAAAGTTCAAAAAGTGTTGAAACCCTAACTTCATGGCCTTATATCTTAAAATATATGCACTTTCGGGAACCCTCCCTAAGTGACAATGTTGTAGTATGTAACAAGATCTTCAATTTGATTTTTGGATCAAAGAAAATGGTTACTTGGTTTGAAAGTTATGACTTTGCAATGTAGGGTAAAAATCATTATTTTTTCATGACTTAGAAAAATTTCAAGTTCTCCATGGTTGCCCTTTTTACAAGTAACCTCACTTTTCTTGATTTTTCTTAATCATTGTTATTGACTTGAAGAGGCCATGTTTGACCAAAAACTCCAAAAGTCAAACTTGATTTTGACCACAGTTGACTTTTTGTATCAAATGAATTTTGAACTTTGTGATCCTTTATGAAATCAAATCCTTGGTCTAAATTAAACATCATGGATGAACTCCAAATGTGTTTTTGAATTTCTTGAACCATGTCCAAGATTTGAGATCATGCTTGCTCAAAATTCAATGGTACATTTGACTTTTCATGAAAACCCTAGTTTGTGGCCCAGATGAATTTGAATTCTTACCTTGTTTATCAATCAAGTTCTTTGGATCAAACCAATCATATGAATGGACTAATATGAGACATTTTATGTCCTCAAAACTTATCTTGAGGTCTCAGATCATGTCTTGCTCAAAAAGCCAACCCATGTGTTGATTAGGTCAAAACCCTAATTTTGGTGCACTGAGGATCTTGAGGCTTGTTGATTTTGAAATGAGGGAATCCTGTACTTGATTATTGATTAATGAGAGTTTTTGATCTTCACGGATGAATGAGAGACTGGGTAAGTTGAAGATTATGCCCATTATTGATTGAACCTTCGCCTGAATCTCTTTTGAGGCTCAAAAACCCTAATTTGTAATCAAATGAAATAAACAACAATCTTTGTATCTCCAAATGGGTTAGTGATGCATAAAAATGTACACACATATGATGCTAATGAAATGCAAATGATGTGGGATCTTAGGGTCAAAAATTAGAGTATGATACTATTAAACATATAACTTTTCAAAATGGTTTACAAAATAATCATATAAACAATTATATTTGAAGAAAAAATTACACTAATTAATGTTTTTTAGGAATCTTGCAACTCATCATTCATCTCACGTTCTTTAATTGCTAAAATATCTATAATACTTCTAGTTTCCGTTCAACTTTCTTCCAAACTTGTTCATTCAACAAGTTCGGAAGAAAGTTGAACGAAAACTAGAAGCATTAGAGAGATTTTAACGGTCAAAGAATGCTAGATGAACGATGATTTGCAAAATGCCCAACAAACATTTATTAGTGTAAGATGTTTTCAAATACAACATAATTGTTGATATTATTATTTTCGAAAACAGTTTAATAGATTATATGTTCAAAGAGAGATTAGTGAAACAAACAATTGACATTAGATATAATAAACTCAACTATATTTTCTGTCACTATAATGTCCTCTTAACATTTTTAGAGGAACAATATGAGAGTTGTACAGAAAATCACAAAAATTATAATCTTAGTCTCAAACTCAATAACAACAACCAAACCCTAAACATATAGATTTCAAAACTTTGTTAATTATAGCAACTATACACCAACAACAATAACATCAAAAACTCAAAAACAACAATAAATAACAACAACATTAACATTATCTCAATCTAAACAATAACTAGCATTAAACAATAACTGAAAAAACAATCTCTAAACAAAAATACAACAACATCAAAAATAAACCTATAAATCAATCTCAATAAACTCATAGCGTATTTATTTCTCTTAACACAACAACATATCACATATTAACATCAATCTCAATTTAAACAACAACAATAAGATTAAACTTCTAACGGGTTTAAAAAACAACAATCTTAAAACCTAAGATTTTGGGGCTAAAAACAACAAACAACAACAACAATATTAATGTAGCACAAATAGTGATGTTGGACTTACCAGATCTACGAAGAAGAAGAAGAAGAAGAAGAAGAAGAAGAAGATGATGATGATGATGATGATGATGATGATGATGAAGAATAAGAAGAAGCAACCAAGAGCCCTAAACAGATATCGTCTTCGTATTTTCTTGCTTTTTCAAAAGTTGGAGGATGATACATGTTTAAGGTTCTCGTTGTTTGAGCTCTTCAAGTTAATATATTACTTGCAAAAAAAAAATGGTGAATCATTAAAATTGAAAAATAACATGTATTGTTTTCTTTTTCAAGTTTTTACTATTCACCACTTTCTTTGTCTGGTGTAATATTCAAACAAAGACTTGTACTATGAAACTACAACATTACTTGCAATTTACAGTATGTTTAGGAATAATTTTCTCAATGTTAGAAAAATAATAAATTATGGAGTGTTTTCTTTGGTTGACAATATTGAAAGGTTATTCCAAAATATAACAATGGTCTTGCAAGAGGTGGAAACAACAACAACAACAACACCATTATATGTGAGATGAATTGCAAGAGTTGAAAAAATTATTTTGTTCAAGTTTGGTGTTAGAATTGTAACATACAACACAAAGTCCTGGAAAAAAATTTATCTTGCAATTCATCTCAAAGAATGATATTTATAAGTCTTGAATCGTTATAGATGAATTTGATTTAAAGTAAAACTTAATGAACGAGTGCTTTTATAAGAAAATCTGATTATCTAACCCCTCAGTTATATAATAAACCAAAAGAATATATAATTTAATTTACAAATAAAAAAAATAAAAAAGGACACCACTTATAAATAAATAAAAACATAAATTGCATATTTTTAAATTCAAAACATATACTGAATTAATTTTTTTTCAATTATATTTTTAAGTCGAGAGAATAGATAATGTTCTTTTAAAAATAAAAATAAAACATAGTGCGTCTTCAGTTTTTTTCGGTGAGATGAAAAGTTTTCTCATTATTATTTGTGGAAGTGATTTTTTTTATGTATTTGAAAAAAAGAAATAGAAAATGAAAATACATATCCTGCCAATACAAAATAAAAATCACATTCTTCATGAATCTACAATCTCTGGTGTTATTAAACTATAGACTCTATCAGTAGCCTTCTCTGCCTGAATAAAAGAAAACGGAAAATCCAAAACCAAGTCAGCACACAACAATGCCTCACATGCATATTAAGCGAAAGACATTTTAAAGAAAAATGAAGTAGCTAACCTCTTTCTCCCAATTCGTACGAATCGTAACGACCGTTAGAGAAGATACTTGGACAATAAGTGCACATATGATCCCCAACCACAGCCCCTACATTATGTTCTTATCAGCAGTTTGAATGAAATGATCATGTTGATTTCTCAAAATTAGTTACAAGTTATGTTCTTACCATGCCACCGATGCGCAATGCAAAAGCCAGTACAATTGCTAATGGAATTCCAATCAAATAGTATGATCCCATATTGACATAAGCACCAATTAAATAGTATGATCCCATATTGACATAAGCACCAATTTTCTGCCAACCACATCCTCTAGCATTACCTGAGAGAACACATTGCATTCCATCTAGGAAGGTTGATACCGCGAGAATTGGCATCATTTTTGCAATATATTGGACAACTTCTACTTCATTGCTATAAGCATAGCCCCATATATTGCGGAAAATTATCATGGCCGCTCCAATCAGGAAGCTCTCGATAATTGCAATCACAACGACGACGCACACAGCCAAACGTGCAGCCCACGGATGACCAGCACCAAGTTCATTCGATACGCGAATGCTGCAAAAATTGATCATACACTATTGAAACCACATTCGCATATGCACCGCACACAAAAGTGCATAAGAAATACTAACCTTACAGCTCCACTGAGTCCAAGAGGAATCATCCAAGCAGCTGATATTGTGTTCAAGCTGACAAAAATCATCAATAACAATAATGTAAACTGTCAAGTATGTTTAACAAAATTGAAAAGATTGAATCAAATAAATAACCAACCAGATAGATAGCACTGATGTTTCCAACTTCGGATTAGGAAGAAGACCAGAAATGATAACAATAGATTCAAATGACCACAGTTCCAAGCTGCTTGTCATGATTTGATGTGATTAGAAAAAGGATACAATACATGAGAATCACGAAGAAGAAAAAAAGTGAAGTCATTTTGGTCCTTAACGGCAACGAGGCAGTTTCACGATAGCCCTTAAGTGTATCAAAATTACTTCTAAACCTCAATCCGTAGTTTGTAATTATGACACATTCAGATACTACACGAGTAACAACGCTCCAAGCATTTAAGAACCAGAATGATTATTTACTCAAAAGTAAACATTATGTAGTATATACCAAACCATAATAGTTGAAGGAGTTGCGATCCTAAGAAACGTTGGAATATTGTGAAGTGCTTCTTTGGAAAATCCAGTCCAAGTATTTTTACATGAAGGAGAAAACTTGACATAAAGTGAAAGCATAGTGACATTCAACCAATAAGATATAGAATTTGCTAGAGCAGCACCTCTGCCTCCAAGTCCAGATTTGAAAACCAAAATCCAACACAAAAGAGCATGTAGTAAAGTTATGACAGCAGAGATAAACATCATTGGAAACACAATATTTTGTGCCTGTAAGAATCTGTTGAGGCATTGTATGAGACCATAAGCAAAAATGCTTGGAACCATTAACTTAGCATAGTTACCGGCTTCGGTAGAAATTTGAGGATCTTGGCCAAGGAAAATGAGAATGGATTTAGTGTTAATCCAAATAAATGATATTGGAATGCTAGCAGTCATTAGAATCAAAATTGCTCTTTGCATGTGTATGCCTAACAATCTGTACTGCTTTGCTCCATATGATTGTCCACATAATGTGTCCAATGCACTTGCCAATCCTACCTGTTTTTTAACCAAAAATATGAAAAATAATACCTAAACATGACAGCTAGTCAATAATTTTCAAGTTAGAAGGGAAAGAAATGAAACTGACCATCACATTGAAACCAGTGGCAGTGGCAAAAGCAGTGGCCACGGAAGCCCCAGCCAGAGGCAATACACCAACATGTCCAACAAACATGATAGCTATAACTTGTAGGCTATAATTTAACAGGCTTACAAATACTAATGGTCCTGCTAACCATAAAACCTTGATCACTTCTTCAATAACTTTTGTTCTTTCTCTTTGGTGTTTTGAGTTTTGGTGTTCTATTTCCATTGCTAACTTTTGCAGCGGAAAATGAGATGTGTTGGATAGTATAATTCTGATTCAGTGTATTATGAAATCCACGCATTCAAGTCACCATGGTGTTAATCGTTGGACCAAAATTTAAGTCTTAAAAATATAAAAATAGAAATTTAAGCTACTAATAGTGTTATCTAAATTTAAACTGGACAAATTCGTTACAAACTATTTTTCGTTACACACTATTTTTCGTTACAAACTATATATATATATATATATATATATATATATATATATATATATATATATATATATATATATATATATATATATATATATATATATATATATATATATATATATATATATATATATATATATATATATATATATATATATATATATATATATATATATATATATATATATATATATATATATATATATATATATATATATATATATATATATATATATATATATATATATATATATATATATATATATATATATATATATATATATATATATATATATATATATATATATATATATATATATATATATATATATATATATATATATATATATATATATATATATATATATATATATATATATATATATATATATATATATATATATATATATATATATATATTTCCGGTATCTTTTCCGTCGGCCCAGTATATATATATATTTCCGGTATCTTTCCGGTCGGCCCAGTATATATATATATATATATATATATATATATATATATATATATATATATATATATATATATATATATATATATATATATATATATATATATATATATATATATATATATATATATATATATATATATATATATATATATATATATATATATATATATATATATATATATATATATATATATATATATATATATATATATATATATATATATATATATATATATATATATATATATATATATATATATATATATATATAGATTAATTACTATGCACTATCAATGTAAAACATTTTACACTGTCGATTTATCACTATGCATTACTTAATAGATGGTTAAAATAAAAGTCAAACAATTTTCAAGAATAATTTCAATGATACTGATTCAGGCTTCAAAAAACATTTTACACTGTCGATTTATCACTATGCATTACTTAATAGATGGTTAAAATAAAAGTCAAACAATTTTCAAGAATAATTTCAATGATACTGATTCAGGCTTCAATCTGCTAAAATTTCACTCCTAGAATCTTTCTAGTCAGTGAAGATTAACTAGCTTGTGATTCAAAGAGATCTTAAACGTAAAGCACATTCGATGACCATCCCTAAAAGGCGGCAAACTAATAGTTAGTTCGTTATTTTTCTCCATATATATATATATATATATATATATATATATATATATATATATATATATATATATATATATATATATATATATATATATATATATATATATATATATATATATATATATATATATATATATATATATATATATATATATATATATATATATATATATATATATATATATATATATATATATTCATTTATTTATTTATTTATTTATAATAGGCTCCAAATTGAGGTAACAGATTTTAAAATATGTTTTTCGTTTCGCTCTTCTCCTTCATATATTGACTTGAGCATTAAAGTGCTAACCTTATAGATACACACCACTCCATCGCATTAGTGGTTGCGATCCACTGTCACCTTCGTTTAATCATCTCATATTTTGTTCTTGAACGAAACAATTACGACGCATGAGGGAATCGATTCTTAATTCCTACGATTTCCACGAATTCACACCCATTATTCAACTTTCATAGTTCATAACTTCTTCTGGTTACTAGAGTGAGTAATCATACTCGAACGCAAAGATATATCGGGCTACGATTCAACTTAGCATAACTACAGTCTAACTTCTTCAAAAAATTTGGATCGCCGATTTTAATCTTCAACAAGCGTGGCGGGATCCAAGACTACTGGATTCGTTGCCGTAAGAAAAGTTATCGTTGCTACCTTAGCAGTAAGTATAAACCTCCTCTTCCTCACCCATAAAGACCATGGAAGTCGGGACAAGCAAGGAGAACAAGGAGGCCAGCAAAGGAAAATGCTCATATATTGCTTCCATTATAGGAGGGGAACCTCTGAAAAACCTTCCCTCCAAAGGGATGATGAAAAGGAAGATCACGAAAATAAAGACTGACTACCATAAAGAAGGAAATATGTCTGTAAAAATTTAGACAGTCCTATGATGGGGTTCAGGAACTCAGAAAAAGTCAGAGGTATACCGAATGAGATTTTCCCCTTTCACGATCATTGCAATAATTGGGAAGTTTGAAGTGTCATGGATCCTCATCGATGGCGGCAACTCCTGCAACATCATGTACTCAGAGTTATTCGAGAAGATGAACCTAGAATAAATCAAATTGCAGACATATGAAGGCTCTCACCTCCAATCGTTCAACAGAACCACAGCACATCCCTAGGGATATGTGGAACTAATAGTTTTCGTCGACAACGGAGAGGACATTCAGGCAATAAATTTTCTCAATTTCTTGTTGTTCCTTGCATAAGTGTATACAATTGTATCTTGGGACGACCTTTGGAGGCTATTGTAACACCCCAAATTTATTGGAATATTTATTTAATTTATTTAAATATGAATATTCGTATTTTTGGTGATTTTCGGTGGTTGGTGTGAATATTGAGAATTGTGGATTTTGAGTTATTTATTTAAATAATAGTATATAATATGAATATATTGGTATTATTATTAATTTAAATAAATATAAGTGAATTGAGAGCAAAGTGGACTTTGAGGAGGAGTTAGTGAGGGTGAAATTGGAAAGCCCATTTTAAGGCCCAAAGTTAGGTTTAACAAAAAGGAACTTTGAGGGAATTAGGATTCATTCTTGTTAGACCGTGAAAAGAGAAGAAATAGAGGTCAGAGCTCTGAGGAAGAGGATTAAGGCAAAGCTTCGCGAGGTTTCCAAGAATCAAGGAGAAAGGCTTAGAGTCGGCAATTAAGGTATGGAGAGTATTGCCTTCATTGTTTTCAATATATGATTCGATGTATTTAAAGCCGATTTAAGGATTTAGGAGGTTTTTGAGTTTGAGGAAATTATGCCTTCACGGCCAAATCTGTTTTTGAAGTTGTTTAAGTATGGGGAGTATTGCCTTCATTGTTTTCAATATATGATTCAATGTATTTAAAGTCGATTTAAGGATTTAGGAGGTTTTTGAGTTTGAAGAAATTAGGCCTTCGTGGCCAAATCTATTTTTGAGGTTGTTTAAGTATGGGGAGTATTACCTTCATTGTTTTCAATATATGATTCAATGTATTTAAAGCCGATTTAAGGATTTAGGAGGTTTTTGAGTTTGAGGAAATTAGGCCTTCGTGGCCAAATTTGTTTTTGAGGTTGTTTATGTATGGCGAGTATTACCTTCATTGTTTTCAATATATGATTCAATGTATTTAAACCTGATTTAAAGATTTAAGAGGTTTTGAGTCTGAGGAAATTAGGCCTTTGTGGCCAAATCTGTTTTTGAGGTTATTTAACCCTGTAGGGTAAGTGATTATCAGAACTATGTGACCTTGGGGTATTTGTAAGAATTTATGAGAATAATACATGACTGTATAATGAATTCACATGAGTGATTGTGATGATTTATGATGTTGATTTCATGAGGCTTTGGTGATTTTATGATGACATGATTATTATGATGATTTTGATGAATGATGATGCACCTAATGAGTTTATTATGAGAATGATATTGACGTGTGTATAATGCATTCATATGCATTCCGAACTTCGGTCTAGTATTTGATTCTTGTGGCTTCAGTCCCATTGTGCGGATGTGAAGTATTTTTTATGCTCCGGTTCTTGTATAGAATTGATCCTATTGATGGGGATCTATGGAGGGTTGATGGCCCAGTGTCCATCGAACTTTGATGAATTGGTACCACATGCATGAGTCTTGTTGCATTTGCATTTATGTGACAATTTGGTGTATTTTATGATATTATGGCTTTTTGATGTTTCCTTGATGATTATGATGATGTTTAATACGAAAATGACACTATTTTATATATGGATTCCTATATTGATTATTATGAATCATTTTACTCACCTTGCCTGTTTAAATGTTGCCTCCACGTGGGTAACGTGCAGATGACTAGGTTTAACCGTGGATGCCGTCGAGGACTTTTTGGTGTTTTTGACTTTTGGTTGACTTAGCGGGTCTTGCTATGATATTGTAACACCGGTTGGGGTCTTGCTATGATAGTGTAACACCGGTTGGGGTCTTTGAGTTAAATCATGTTTTATTGATTATTGTTATTTTGATTATGTTGTTGCGCAAGGAAAACTTTGAATTTTTCCTTTTTAAGTTCAGTTGCCTTTTGAGTAATTTTGAGAAAACCCGTTGTTTACGAAGCATTGACTTTTATTCGAGTTATTGAGAAATGTACGCCCTTTGAGGTGATTTTTATTGTGTTTAATATTTTACTCTGATAAATGTGAATGATTTTTCATTATATTTGTAGGGGTAGAAAAGGGTGTTACATTAGTGGTATTAGAGCAGGTCTATCCGTTCGGCCAAGTTTTTATGTTGTTAGTCCCCTGTCAGTCAATAGTGTGAGAACACTATTGGATGAGTTATTTTCTTCTGACCCTGTTGTTGGCTGCAAATGGCTAGAAGAAATAATCGTGCTCTTGATGATGCGTTGGAATCGCTTACCCCAAGTGATGGCCCAAAATGGTTGACCTCCAGATGAGTTTCGTGCTTTGGGGAAGTTCCAAAGGAACAATTCGCCGACTTTTGTGGGCACTCATGATCCTGATGGTCCGTAGAAGTGGCTAAGAGTGATTGAGAAGATTTTTCGGGTTATGGTGTGCACTGATACTCAGCAGGTGCAGTTTGGTACGCATATGCTAGCTGAGGACTGGTGGGATAACACTCGTCAGAGATTGGAAGGTGTTGGCATTGCAATAACTTGGACTGTGTTTAAGGAAGAATTT